AGTCCACCGCCTGACCAGTCACAGTCGCAGTTACAGCTAGCCTCTCCACTGCCTGGTCCTTCTCCTTACTCTGGGCCGACTAGAGGTCTTACGGAGCGTCGTGAGCCTGAGTCTCGTCCTGCGTCGCCTGTTCGCGCTGGTCGCACTGGTAGTCGTGTTCCGCGTCCGCGTCCTCCTCCTGTCCCCGGCACGCACCAAATGGCACTTCGTCCGTCCACTGCTCCACAGCGTGTCCCCCTGCCGTCTCCTCCTGCGTCCTCTCTTCCTGTCGTCCCTGACCCGCCGTCAGACCTTGCTCGTGCTGCTAGTCCTACTGGCACGCGTCTTCTCGCAACTGTTGTCACTGACCCTTCGTTTGAGTCCACTGCTTCGTCTGCCCTAGTTGCTGAGCTTGTTGACTTTGCTGCTGCCTGTCGTCTAGACTACGCCGCTTGTCTTGTTGCTGAGTCTGAGTCTGTCTGTCCTCCGTCCGTCGGGGGTGAGTGTGCTCTTGGCACGGACGTCCTTGAGGACAGACAGGAGGAGTTTGAGTGTTTTGCCGCTGCTTTACCTCATCTCGTGTCCATGCTGCTTGCACCTGAGGGAGACCCGGATGCACCAGACATCCCGACCCCGCGCTCTTACGCAGAGGCGATAGAGGGTCCCTACTCCTCTCAGTGGGAGACAGCCATGGACGCAGAGATGGCTTCCTGGAAGTCCACAGGCACCTACGTCGACGAGGTTCCCCCACCTGGGGAGAACATCGTCAGTGACATGTGCATTTTCAGGGTGAAGCGGCCGCCGGGTTCTCCGCCTGTCTTCAAGGCGCGTTACGTTGCACGAGGCTTCAGTCAGCGAGAGGGAGTTGACTTCTTCCAGACCTTCTCCCCTACCCCGAAGATGACCACCCTTCGGGTACTGCTGCACGTCGCCGCTCAGCGTGACTACGAGCTTCACTCTCTTGGCTTCAGCACAGCCTTCCTACAGGGCAGTCTGCACGAGGAGATCTGGCTGCGCCGCCCACCTGGCTTCACTGGGTCGTTTCCTGCTGGTACCCAGTGGAGCCTCCGGCGGCCAGTCTACGGTCTCCGCCAGGCGCCCCGTGAGTGGCACGACACACTGAGGACGACCCTTGCGGCTCTTGGGTTTGCTCCTTCCACTGCTGACCCGTCGCTGTTTCTACGCACCGACACCTCTCTGCCGCCGTTCTACGTCCTCGTGTATGTCGACGACTTGGTCTTTGCTACTGCTGACACTGAGGGACTCGCCCACGTGAAGTCGGAGCTGCAGAAGAGACACACGTGCACAGACCTGGGTGAGCTGCGCAGCTATCTTGGCTTGCAGATCACCCGGGACAGAGCACAGCGCACCATTACCTTGACTCAGTCACACATGGTGTAGCAGGTCCTTCAGCGCTTCGGCTTCATGTACTCCTCGCCACAGCCCACTCCTCTGCCTACTCGCCACTCGCTCTCAGCTCCACCTTCGGACGAGTCCATAGAGCCGAGTGGTCCGTACCCAGAGCTTGTGGGCTGCCTCATGTACCTGATGACCTGCACTCGACCTGACCTTGCCTACCCTCTTAGCATCCTGGCATGCTATGTCGCTCCTGGGAGACACCGGAAGGAGCACATGGATGCCGCTAAGAGGGTGTTGCGCTACTTGTGCAGTACGTCGGGCATGGGGCTCGTGCTTGGAGGACGGGCTCGAGTTGTCCTCACTGGTCACGCAGACTCTTCCCGGGCTGACAACTTGGCTATGCAGCGGTCATCACAGGGTTACACTTTCAGCCTTGGCTCCGGCTCTGTTTCGTGGTGTTCTACCCGCTCGTCTTCTGTTCTCAGCTCCAGCTGTGAGGCTGAGATCTACGCAGGGGCCATGGCTGCACAGGAGTTACGCTGGCTCACCTACCTGCTGACCGACCTGGGAGAGCCGCCTCGTTCTCCTCCAGTGCTGTATGTCGACAACAAGGCCATGATTGCCTTGTGTCAGGAGCACAGAGTGGAGCACATAACGAAGCACATCGCTCTGCGCTACTTCCTTGCTCGAGAGTTGCAGCAGCGTGGTCAGCTTCGTCTTGCTTACGTGGCCACTCAGGCCAACACTGCTGATGTCTTCACCAAGGCACTTCAGCCTTGTGATCATCAGCGTTTCTGTACTGTTCTAGGCCTTGTGCCCACTTGGCCTCACTTGCTTACTTCTTGACTTTTCTTGTACTGTGATCTCTATACATATACCTACATGCTTACACTTGCTAGGTTGTGATCACTGTATTGCTTGTTCTCCTTTATATAACTCTGCATGTGAACTGGCCTTGTGGCCATTTGCTTGTGCTCAGAATGCGTGGTGACGTCGTGATCCACCCTGAGCTTGCTTTGTTTTTCTTGACTGGTCTTGTGACCTCTTGTTCTCCCCCATTTTGCCCATGGGGGTGTGTCAAACTCATATGTTATAGTCTGTGTAGGCTGAAGTGGGGTAGTTCATATGGGGTACAACACTTTGGGGTTTCCTACTTGTACTCCTCATTTTGCTCAATGCAATCATTCCTCGTTCTGTTCTTCACACGAGCGCAACCACCCGATACATGACCGCGAGATGCTGGCGGTCGTGCACGCGTTCAAAGTGTGGCGATGCTACCTCACAGGAGCCGACGTGCCCAACCGAATCTTAACCCGTGATAGATACGGTGGTTGGACTATCTGGATTCCATTTTTCACTACACGATCACATTAAAAAAAGGAGCATCAAATGTCGCCGACGCTCTCACCCGCCCCACTGGCCAACTTCACGCCATCCTACCCAAGAAACCCACTGCTAACACGACTATTCACCCACGGATATCGCACCGACCCATTTTTCACCACGGGGGATTGGCAGCAGCTGACAGAGGCTAAGGGAGTATATTACGTAAAAACAGGCACTAACCGCATCTCGGTACCGGAATATTCACTGCTACTGCAGGAGGCACACGACGGGGTTACCTCGGGTCACTTTGGGATAGAAATAACGCGACAGCAATTGCAGCGGTACTACTACTGGGCGGAGCTGTTGACCGACGTACAGCACCACGTGTGATCATGCCCTACGTGTCAGGTGATGAAGAGCTCGGGTAAGAAAGAGGCGGGTCACATGCAGCCGATTCCGTCGCTCGAGCGCGCCTGGCATCAGGTTACATTGGATTTCGTCGCGGGGTTACCTTCGAGACCTGGTGGTAACGACGCGGTCATGGTTGTCGTTGACCGACTGATGAAAATGGCACATTTTGCTGCGTGCAGGAAATCGATCTCAGCCGAGGAAACCGCTCGCCTGTTCATCGCAACCGTCGTTCGCCTCCAAGGGATACCTGCGGAGAGTCACTCTACACCGTGGACTACGGGGGAAGGCACGGGTAGTACGAGTGATCGTAGTGTTCCTTAGCGTTCTCTAGCACTTGTGCATTCACGGGGATAGTTGGCAAGAGTTTCACTAGCAAAAGTTGATAACAATGCTAGCAATGGCAAAGGCAACACTGACTATATCAGATGCAAGTTTGCCTAGCACACAGGCAGGCCGACCGCCAGCGCAGCAAAGCGGTGATACTTTTGCTATTTGTTTCAGAAGGGGGCGAAAGAAAAAGTTATCAAGAAATCGAAATCGCAAGGCTCTTGCGAATCTGGGGACTCTAGATGTGTTGGAAAGGGCACTGCATTTATTCCTTTGGTGCACAAGTGGCTCGCTGCAAGCCACTCAGAAGATAGCCTCCTTTACTGTACTAGTACAGTACAGTACAGTGTGCCAGTGTGCCATCTGCCTGCCAATCAGGCAACGACCATTGTACACTGTAGTTTGCAAGAGAACATCCGCCCAGTCACCTCACCACACTTTGAAGGACCACACGTTCGGGAAGGAGGGGTGCACAGCTCCGTTTCATTTGCATTAATCAATAGATGGAAAGAAACCTTGTGGCAGTGCACCGTCGATACTATATACTACATCGACAGCACACAGTAGGAATCAGAACTGAAAGTTTTGGACGAAAGGACACTGTGGCAGGGAAAGGTGGAACAATACACGCACCAGGATCGCGGGGAAATGCATAGGACGAAATTGATGAAGACAAATCTACAGCGACTACCTACACTTCAATACACGATTGTTTTGTCACAACAAGAACTATTTTGAATATCAGTGCATTACCATTCCATGTAGTGGTAGTCTGGTTGTAAACTGCGACGAACAATCACGCCTTGTCATTTGCAAAGCTTTGATATGAGTGCTCACATATTTATTGTGCCTTGGAGTATGTTCACACTAATAGCTATTTAAGCGAGTAACGTTGTGCCGTCATGTCATAAAACGTCGATGCTTCGGTGTCACTGGAAAAAACGTAAGTCGCTTTGCTTAGTGTCAACACTATCCTTCCCTGACGGTTCTCTGCCTGCAGAGCATCGATCCAGCACTATAATGTAAAGTACCGTAAAAACAGTTGTTGTACCGTCCTCCTTTAGTGGGGCGGTTATGGCTTGCTGCCAGATCGCACGGTGTTTAATCGACCGAGCGGCAATATAGGAGGAAAGAAACATCGGTGTCGAGTTCACATATGCACGGTTTGAATGCTGGTTGCTGAACTCAGCATGAATTAGCACGGTAAGGTCAGTCAGTGGCGTGAATGCACATAAGCATGGGTGGGTGTTGAGCCAAACTTCTGTACAGCCACCACTCAGTGTGTAATGTAAGTTATTCCCCGCAGCAAACATTTGTACAAAACTCGCGCAATGAATGATGCACAACACAAACGAACAAAAAGAAGCAAACCATGCTAACAACGGTGAGAAGGGCTAATGGACAACCAATATTGCTGTTTTGTGCCACTGCAATGGCTGTGTATGGTGAGCTGATCCTGATGCAACTGCTGCTGCTGGTTGCTGTGGTTCTTGGCTGGAAAGGGGTTGGGTACGGGTGTTGATAAGACCTGATGCGACAGCACCGGCGGTTGTAGCAACACCCTGGTGCGGTTGTAGCAGCAGCAGTGGCATCAGCTGCTACTGCTGCTGCTGCTGCCCTGGCCCTACCTCCTCTTCCCCCACTACATTACCGCCCTCCCGTTTGCTGCTATCAGCTTCTGACGTGCAGTGTAGATGCAGATGGGTTGAGAGCGGTGAGAGTAGAGGAGGTGGGGGTGGAGAGAGGGGAGAGCGAGGAGAAGGTGGAGGAAGGAATGGCAAAGTGGGAGACTCGGGGTGTGGGGGAGTGGAGGGAGGACCAGAGAAGGCAGAGGAGGAGGGGGGTGAGGTACGAGAGGAGGGAGGCGGCGTTAGGGGGAGGGATGCACGAGAGGGAGTGAATGCAGAGGATGCGCCCTGCCCGCCTGCAACCTGGTCAGGTACAAAGGGGAGAGCAAGGGGTGGGGAGGGCGGGGGAGGAAGGCGGGAGAGGGAGCATGCAGAGGAGATGCGCCCTGCCCATCATCCCCCAGTCCCCCTCTTCCCACCCGCGCCACGCCTGCTGCCCCTTCCTCTTCGTCCTTCAGTCCGTGCTTTTTCTTCAGTCCAGATTCTTCTCTTCCCGCCGCCGCCGCCCCTTCCCATTAAGGTGCTACGCCTGCTGCTGGTGCTGCGTGCTCCTGCTCAGCTGCTCATGGCAGGGGGGACGACCGCGAGTTGGCAAGAGGGGGAGCAGAAAGTTGAAGTGCAAGTGAGAGCAGTGCCATGAGCAAGGCGATGAGTCCAAGGCAACCCAAAACACAATCCACTCCGCTAACTCGCCTCAGTCGCATGAGAGCATGAGAGAAATGGCATGAGAGAATGAGAGCAGTGGCATGGGAGAATGAGAGCAGTGGCAATGAGAGCAGTGGCATGAGAGCATGAGAGCAGTGGCACGAGAGCATGAGAGAAGTGGCATGAGAGCATGAGAGCAGTGGCATGAGAGCATGAGAGCAGTGGCATGAGAGCATGAGAGCAGTGGCATGAAAGCATGAGAGCAGTGGCATGAGAGCATGAGAGCAGTGGCATGAAAGCATGAGAGCAGTGGCATGAGAGCATGAGAGCAGTGGCATGAGAGCATGAGAGCAGTGGCATGAGAGCATGAGAGCAGTGGCATAAGAGCATGAGAGCAGTGGCATGAGAGCATGAGAGTAGTGGCATGAGAGCATGAGAGAAGTGGCATGAGAGCATGAGAGCAGTGGCATGAGAGCATGAGAGCAGTGGCATGAAAGCATGAGAGCAGTGGCATGAGAGCATGGGAGCAGTGGCATAAGAGCATGAGAGCAGTGGCATGAGAGCATGAGAGTAGTGGCATGAGAGCATGAGAGCAGTGGCATGAGAGCATGAGAGCAGTGGCATGAAAGCATGAGAGCAGTGGCATGAGAGCATGGGAGCAGTGGCATAAGAGCATGAGAGCAGTGGCATGAGAGCATGAGAGTAGTGGCATGAGAGCATGAGAGCAGTGGCATGAGAGCATGAGAGTAGTGGCATGAGAGCATGAGAGCAGTGGCATGAGAGCATGAGAGCATGCGAGCAGTGGCATGAGAGCAAGGCGATAGAGCAAACCGATGAGCCCAAGGCAACGATGGCGGAGGTGAGGGAAACCATTGCTGAGCAGCGATCATCCACTCCCCTCACTCGCATTAGTCGCCGCCACACCTGCCTCCTAGGTCCTCCCTCACGGCTTGCGTCTGCCACACGCCTCCGAGTCGGAAGTGCCTCGCTGCATTCAAATCCGCGCAACGAGTCGCGGAACTGCCGTCGCCTCCACTATCATCGCTCGCCCTGCCCCGCTGCTGCTGCGATAGCCGGCCGGCTCGTCACTTCCCCGCTCTGCTGCCCTGCGCTGCCGCCTCACGCGGAAGAGCTATGCAAGAACGAACGGGGGGGTTGAGAGGGGAAAGGAGGGAAGAGGGGAAGGGAAGGGAGAGGGGGAACGGGGGGAGATGGGAGGGGGGATGAAAAAATTGAGGGGGAGGAGAGAGAGGTATGAGAGAGAGAGGGGCGGCTGGTTGTTGCGCGATGGGAGGCAACCACTGTGCGCTGCTGCCCCCGCCACTACTGTGTGCTTAGCACCTTCACCTGCTGCCCCTGGCGCTGCCCCTGGTGCTACTCATCATGGGCACATGGGATGGGGGCATGGCAGGGGGGCAAAGGTAACTCGTGGAAGATGTTGGTGTTCGTGCATGCATCCCCACCCACCCACCACGGGACACCCCCATTCACCCCGCACCTACAGCACGTGCAGATTGCCTCGTGGCGTAAGCACGCCGCCTCACGTGTGTGACAGATAAACGCCGCCGCTCACTGCACTGCTGCCCTCCTCTCTCTTCACTTGCTTGCTCCTCCTCCCTTAGCACACCCTAAATTCGTTCCCTCTTTTTTTCCCGCTGCCGTCCGCCGTCCCTTCCCATTCCGCCGTCCCTTCCCATCCGCCGTCCCTTCCCATCCGCCTGTGTGGGGTGGGGGGTTGTGTGAGGGGCTATGAGGAGGATTGGGGGGTAGGGGAGCCTTAGGGGGGCCTTGGGGGGGGCGTGGGGGGGGGGGGGGGGGTATTTTCGTTATTTTATTATTACAATCCTCTTGTACCATGCACTATTTATTGTCACTTGCACTTGTTGAGTAGTTGGATGGATTGTGGAGGCTTAAACCATGATTAGCGTCTTCAACTTCAGTCTTTTCCTAATAGATGTTATGAGGTCCTATCCCTCGGTGTTCCAGGATCCCTTACTCTCATTCTGGCCGCCATTAATAGCACCTGGCGACACACTGAACCCAACTACAAAGGTACGGTAACCTTATTTTAAAGCAGCTTCACATTCTTACGATGTGTGTTTATGTGCGAAGCTGCTGCACGAAAAATTCATGTTGACGCAAACGCCAACCCTCGCCTCTTAGTGGAACAGACGTACTAGGCAAAACAGATGTTTAACGACTATCGACGTGCATTTTTGTCGCATCGTCTGTTCAGCATCGCAAGACCAACGGATACGTTGGGGCAAATTTATAATTCGGCGACTAGTTCACAATTGAAAAAAAAGTTTCAAGGCCCTGAATGATGGTGAACCTCCGAGTCCACGTGGCGCGGGCGAATTATGGAGCAGTCTCTGTAAGACATATTAATTTGGTGCGTAATCAAATAAATTATACACAAGTCAGATCACTGGAAGAATGGAGAAATAAGTAGTGAAGAAAACAAAATGGTGTCAGAATCAGTAAGCGAGAATGGATGAACTAACAGCATGCATGAGTACAAGTAGCAAACCCTGATTGGGTTGTACCCCATATGGGCTACCCCTCTACAGCCTACACAACATGCAACATATGAGTTTGACAAATGGATGGAAATATTAAAACATATAATTTGCATGGGACCGAATAGATAAGATGCGTTGACTGTAATTATATAAGGGAAAATATGCGAATGGTAACATACATGGGGCTCTATAACACGTACGGTAACCATAACAATGAATTTTCACGCGTTTGGTAACTCGATTCACGCATTTGGTAACTATACACTGGCAAGCCATCACGCGAATGGTAACTAGAAGAAACCCTCGTCAAACTTGACCCTGATTCTGGTTTTTCCCGCTCGCGCCAGACTGAATTGACGAGTCCTGAAGCACGAAATTCTGACACACTTTCCGAAATTCTGACACACTTTCCGAAATTCTGACACACTTTCCGAAATTCTGACACACTTTCCGAATTTCGGACTATTTCGTGAAAAGTTGCTGTTTTGAAAACCGTTTATAATATAATGCGGATATTCTGGCGCTCGCGGAAATTTGATTTCACTTAATTCTATCGTACAAACGGGGCAAAAAATATATACCCCTTTCGGATGGCAAATGATTTTGAGAGCATCAACCCTAAACTCCTTGCGACAAGGCTTTCAAGGTTATTTCTACAATAAAGGCATGCCATTCGGAAGGGTATTATTTTCCCACCTCCAAAATTATCCCACGTTGCATTAATTACACATTTTTTAAATAAAATTATTGTCGCTTTTCCGGGGAAATTTTCCCATTTTGCAATTATGCAATCATGCTTGCAAAAATATAATTGTACTTGTTAGTACTATATTTCCGAGCTTAAAATAGATATGAAACTACTCTGAAACTATTTGGTCCGTGGTAATTGAACAAACGCAATCCTTCAAAGTCACGGCGGGAATCGTTCAATATCGATAAAACGGTCCGTGAAATCTTTCAATTTAACAAATTCCTCTTAGTCAGGATCATTTCGGCGGGAGTTTCATCTAGTTACCATTCGCGTGATCATTCGCATGTGCTAAGTTACCAATTGCGTGAAACGAGTTACCAAACGCGTGAAAATGTACTGTAATAGTTACTGTACGCGTTAAAGAGCCCCATGTATGTTACCATTGGCATACTTTCCCATTATATAATGTAAAGTAGGTTGAGTTTTCAAAGAACATATGGTTATATAATTACTGTGATTAATCCATACGCTTAAAGATATTACATAATTGAACAATTTTATGCTTACAAACTATCACATATCGTTTTTCGAATGTTCTTTAGATTAATCCAAGTATGCTTATGTCGAAATTATTAAACTGCCGAACTACAAGTCACAGCGGCTGTAAGTCGACGCGCGACTTTGTATTTATTGGTCAAGTCTCAAAGCGGGGTGCGCTGTAAAAGCACGCCCGTTTTTTTGACGGTTGGTTTTATTTCGCGACCTTGTTTGTTTTTTTTTTATACTTTTTTTAGGGGGTGAGGTTATGTTCCCCGTGCTATGCAGTAACTATTCCCGTCAATTTCCATTTTAGATTGAGGCACAATTTGTGATTTCGTTTTTCTTTCTTCCTGCCGTACATGTTACAAAATGTTTTGTGGGTTGGTGTGGCTGTAAAAATGCTTGCGTGTAAACCAGTGGGTTAGCAGTTTAGTTTTTTTACTATACAGCAGCCATGCCAGGGGGCATTTTGAATGTTAAAACGGGGTTACTCCCTAAGCACCCCCACCGAGTTACAAATACCCAGGACGTGGTGAGTGCTCACTATGAACAGTTATTCACACCATGTGCGTTTTCTGTACTCCCTACCACATTTGAAACTGAACTAAACATCCCTAAGCGTTAAAAAATAGTTAGCTTTTGCAAATTCATTTTCCTGCCCACCCACCCACCTCGCTGCCCACCCATCCACCGCACTGGTGCCTCGGCACAAACTCCGGTCAACTCCACTCGAACCTCCTTCCCTCCTACCCACCAGGCAAGCAGGCAGAACCTAATCCCTGAATGTTCGCTCCTGTGCCATTCGCATTAGTACGCGCACAGTCCCTTATTTGTCCGCACGCCTCGCGGTCGCCTCGCGCCCGTTAGATGCTCGTCGTTTCCCGCCTCGCGCTGCACCCTGCGCAGCTACTAGAGCTGTTGGTGCTGGAGGTACTGGAGCTGCAGGTGCTGGAGGTACTGGAGCTGCTGGTGATGGAGGTGCTGGAGCTGGAGGTACTGGAGGTGCTGGAGCTGGAGGTACTGGAGGTTCTGGAGCTGGTGGTACTGGAGGTACTGGAGGTGCTGGAGCTGGAGGTGCTGGAGGTGCTGGAGCTGGTGACGGTACGGGCACTGCGCCGCGCCGACTGTTTTTCTACCCGCAGCCGCAGTCGTCCCTACCACCACCTGACTCGGCACTTCGTCAGGTTCTTAGTCTTCCGTCTTCCACTGGCCTTACTCCGCCTCTCCTGTGTCCTCCGCCTGACGAGTCCCAGCCGCGGTTACTGCCTGGCTCTCCACTACCTGCTCCTTTTCCCTACCCTGCACAGACAGGCTCCAAGGCTGAGCGTCGTGAGCCTGAGTCTTGTCCTGCCTCCCCTGTTCGCACTGTCAGTCGTGCTCGTCGTTCTCGTCCTCCACCTGTCCCCGGCACGCACGCTATGGCACTTCGTCCTTCCTCTGCTCCACAGCGTGTTGCTCTGCCGTCTCCTCAGGCGTCCTCTCTTCCTGACGTTCTTGACCCTAAATCCGACCTTGCTCGTGCTACTAGTCCTATGATCACTCGTCTCCTCGCCACTGTTGTCACTGACCCTTCCTTTGAGTCTACTGCTGCGTTTGCCCTAGTCACTGAGCTAGTCGACTTTGCTGCTACCCGTCGTCTCGACTACGTCGCGAGTCTGGTTACTGAGTTTGACTATGTCTGTCCTCCGTCCGTCGGGGGTGAGCTTGCCCTTAGCAGTCCTTGAGGACAGGCAGTTTGGGCTTGAGTGTCTCGCGGCCGCTTTACCTCGTTTCGCGTCTATACTGCTTTGCCCTGAGGGAGACCCGGATGCACTTGACATCCCTACCCCGCGCTCTTACGCAGAGGCGATCATGGGTGAGTACTCCTCTCAGTAGCAGACAGCCATGGACGCAGAGACGGCTTCCTGGAAGTCCACAGGCACCTACGCCAACGAGGTTCCTCTTCCTGGGGCGAACATAGTTGATGGCATGTGGATTTTCAGAGTGAAGCGGCTGCCGGGTTC